AAACATTTTTTTTTTTTTCTTCTCCATGTCCCCTTGGGGGCTCCGTAGAAACATGCACATACATTGGATAAATAACATAGGCGTTTAGTTAATTTAATAAAAGAGCACATGTTCAATGTGAAAAGTGACCGTAGATAGATTACTTCAGTTGCAATTTGGTGCTATATATTTATTTTTTTTAAATAAAAAAAACAAAACACCTTGAATTTCAGGCAGGGCGCGGGGCTCCGTTGGCAGGGCGCAGCGCCCCGCCAAGACAATGGTAGGGGAAAATAGAATATAACAAAAAGCACTTTTGGTGTTTGAGAAAGAGATGGGAGGGGGGATGTATTTGTGTGGATTCTGAAAGTGTTAACTTAGGAGGAATCTATGTTGCAGGGGGAGGGTATAGGGGGGGGACAAAGGACAGCCCACTACAGTGAGCAGGTCTGGTGGTAGGTTGGTCATGTCGGAGGTGTTAAGAGGGAGGGGAGATGTTTCTGTAGATCTCAGGGGAAAATGTATGTTAGAGGGTTGGGGTTTTATGTGTACTTACGTGTTAGAATATGTATTTTTACTCATATTTTGGTAGGGCAGCATCCTTTATCCACTCACTACTGTACAGTCACGGAACAACCTATATAGCACAATATATGTTCAATTGAGGTATGTCTAAATCTATGAAGGTTAAGGTTACATCTTGGAATTGCAGGGGCTTGGGTAAATTAACTAAAGTGAAGCAGGTACTTAGTAGACTGAAACAAAAACACTCAAACATAGTTTTCCTGCAGGAATCTCATATGATGCAGTGTGATTTGTCTAAAGTCAAAAAAAGATGGCACGGTCAAGTGTTTTCAGCCTCCTATAGTTCACATGCCAGAGGAGTTTTACATTTAATTCACAAGTCAATCCCATTTCAAGTAGTAAATTCAATAATTGATCCCAAGGGCAGGTACATTATACTTCAGGGCATATTACTGTATGAGAAACTTAATTTAGTGAATGTTTACGGCCCCAACGAGGACGACCCTGCATTTTTTGATAATTTATTCTTGACCTTATCAACGCTCCCAGGTAATTTCATTATAGGAGGCGATTTGAATGTGGCCCTGAACCCACAAATAGACAAATCTACTGGCTCGGACACGTCCCATATTAGAGCTAGAAAATCTATATTCAATTTTTGGAAGGATTTGAGCTTATCAGAAATCTGGCTGGAACTGAACCCAAACAATATAGAATATTCTAGTCACTCTAGCACACATAAAACGTATTCACGGATAGATTACTTTCTAAAATCGACACAGATAAGATATAAAATCGAAGACTGCAAATATGATGCCATAGTGATATCTGATCATGCCCCGATACCTTTTACATATGTAGATTCTAAACTGGTTAATAGCCCTCCGAGATGGCGTTTTCATATAAACTGGCTATAGGACCCGGCCTTTTATAGACTTTATTGGGAAACAAATACATATTTTTTTCGAAATGAACACAAGTCTGACCTCGGCTTGCATCAGATGGGAAGCTTTTAAAGCCTTCTTGAGAGGACAGATTATAAGTTTTATGTCTCCTAAATTGAAACGCACCCGTAAAAAACCGGAAGAGCTGGATTATAAAATTAAAGTGCTAGAGAAAGACAAGTTTATGGATAGCTCTGAAAACCCAAATCAGGAACTATTACTTTTTAAGGCTGAATACAATCAAATATCTGCTGAGAGGGCTGCGAATAGCTGCGAATAGCTTGTTGATGCTTAAACATAATTTTTATGATCAGGGAGAAAAACCAGGTAGACTTCTGGCCTGGAGAATTAAACAGCTACAATGAGAAAGAGTGACTGTGGATCCTGAAGAAATAAATGTAACCTTTAGACAATTTTATGAAACGTTATACTCCTCAGAATATCCGCCTAATTCGGACGCTCAAACTTCATTTTTGGATAATTTAAAATTCCCAAGTGTCTCAAATGAAGAAAAAATCAACCTGGACTCTGATTTGTCAACGGAGGAAATTATAGAAGCAATTGATGCCATGAATGCTGGCAAAGCAGCTGGTCCTGATGGATTACCAATCGATATTTATAAGAAATTCAAGAGGAAACGTTTAACTCCAATTCGAAATGCTTCAGGAATCCTATAAAAATGGGTCACTCCCTCCCTCATTGAGAGGTGCCATGATCATTTTAATTTTAAAACCAAACAAACCAGCCCATAAATGCCAATCTTTCCGTCCAATCTCACTTCTAAATTCGGACATTAAAATTCTCTGCAAAGTATTAGCACGTAGATTGGAGTCTGTTCTCCCTGTCATTATAGATATGGATCAAAATGGATTTGTTAAAGGGAGACAAGGCTTTCATAACGTACGGACAGTGTTAAATATACTTCACGAGAGGAAAGACGCGCCAGACACTGCTCTGCTATCAGTCGATGCCGAAAAGGCGTTTGATAGAATAGAATGGCCTTTTCTATTTGCAACACTAGACCGTTTTGGATTTGGGACTGCTTTCTGCAATTGGGTAAGGTTATTGTACACTCAACCCACAGCTGAAATTCTGACTAACAATGTTATTTCTCAACCATTTAATATTAATAGGGGGGTCAGACAGGGGTGCCCTTTGTCACCCCTCCTATTTACACTCGCCATAGAACCCTTCGCCATAGCAGTCAGGACACACAAGAATATGTCAGGTGTCAGGTTGGGATAGCTAGAACATCGCATAGCTCTTTTCGCGGACGACGTCATTTTGTTCCTCACGGATTTAGCTAATTCAATTCCAGCTTTACTAAATGTAATTAAGACGTTTGGATTATTTGCGGGTTATAAGGTGAATAATGCAAAATCCTCCATAATGTTATTGAATGGAAAAGAAAGATGCAATCCTATGGATGTGTCCTCATTCAACTCAACAGACTCTTTTACCTACCTAGGTATACATATAGTGCCTGATGTGGGAAAAATTGTAAAAAACAATTATGATCCTGCTCTTGAATCAATTTATAAATCACTGGAAAGATGGTCTAATATGCCAATTTCTTTAATAGGGCGAATAAATATACTGAAAATGAATATCCTTCCAAAACTATTGTACCTGTTTCAAAACATACCTTTACCCTTGCCACTATCGCATTTCACTAAATTGAGGAAAACTTGTTCGAATTTCATTTGGAATAATAGAAGACACAGGCTACGTTTGACGTTATTATACTTACCGTATGACAGAGGAGGACTCAAACTTCCTAACTTCCAGTGGTATTACTGGGCTGCCCAATTACGCAGCATAATGTATTACTTCTCCCCCGACCCAGTCCCAGCGTGGGTAGACATTGAAGCCTTTTCACTTACCCCTAAATTGCCACTTAACTTATACATGTATTCTGCCAATGTTAAAAAGCTCAGGGAACAAACATCTAACCCATTTGTATTGAATATGATCAATGTTTGGTATAAAATTCAAGATGTGCTAGGGGAAAAATCATCAATGTCCCGTTTTAGCCCAATCTGGGGAAATGACCAATTCAAACCAGGAAGAATGGACCAAGGTTTCCATCATTGGGCAACGAAAGGTCTAACAAAAATAGGAGATATGTTTCAAGATGAAACGTTGATGTCATTTGAACAGTTGCATACTAAATTTGGCCTTTCAAATAGCAATTTTTATAAATACTTACAGGTACGAAGCTTTATAACTGCATCCCGCAACCAGTTATTAACTCCCCCACCACTTTCTGAACTGGAACGAGTGATCTCTGATAATTGTCATGGGAAAAGGCTTATTTCAGTGCTATATAACTTGTTGGTTTTTAACTCCACTGAATCCTCTACCAACCGGCTTAACGCCTGGAAGGAAGATATACAGGAGGATATTTCCTTGGATGACTGGGGTGTGATATGTACTGAGGCACATAAACAAACTGCGAATACCAGATTAAGATTACTACAACACAACTGACTGATGCGCACGTACATAACACATGTGAGATTACATCAGTTTAATAATAACATTCCAGATATATGTACTAAGTGTGAACAGTCTAAAGGGAGACTTTTTCACTGCATGTGGGAGTGCAAAGAGATTGCAACTTTCTGGTGCGAGATCTCACAAATAATTCACAAAATGCTAGATGTTAAGATACCTCTTGATCCTAAATTGTTTATTTTGGGACTTTACCCCTCCACCCCAGTCATAACAAAGAATAAAAATAATCTCATAAACATGTGTTTACACCAAGCAAAACGCTTGATTGCCTTGTCATGGAAGAACACTCAGAGGC